CCCCCCCCCCCCCCCCACAAAAAAAAAAGTCGGTTATGACCGCCACGCGCGCGCGCGCGCGCCCGACGTCCGGCCGGCAATCGAGCGTGTACGCGTACCGTTCGTGTCGCTGCGAAATCATGCGGGATAATTTTACACCGGTCGAAAACGAAAAAAAAAAAACGCGTTTTCGTAAAAACCGCACGGCTCCCTCGTCGCCACGCCCCGTGGTACTCCCGTGTCTGCCGCGGCGGTCCGAATTCGTCCGAACGCTGCGCTTCTTGGGCGACGGTACGCCCGCGAAAATCCGCTCGCCGTTAACGCGCGGTCGACGACGGAACGATGACGCGCGTACGCCTGCCGATCGCCGCAGCCCTGCTGTACCGGTCCGCCGTGGTCGTACACGGTGCACGGTCGGTTGTACACGACACCGAGAAGAACGCGATGTTTTAAAAATTTTAATCGATTCCGACGCACGCTGCGTCGGCAGCGGAGCACTCGTAACAATAATAATAATAATAATACGATAATGTGTTTTTTTTTTTTTTTTTTTTTTTTATTGTTGTGTTTCTAACGCGCAGCTTCGCGCCGGCAGGTAGAACAATATCGTAGCGGGTGTTTACGGGTAAACGGGAACGTCAGACGCGCGGCTACAGGGCGCGGGACAGAAAACGAAACGAAACGGAATTGAGAAAAAAAAAAAAAACGAAAAACGAAATCAAATCGGAGTCGCCTGGGCCCGGCATTGTACTGCAACGACGATATAACCGCGCGCGTACGTAATATTGTTTTTACTGTAAACACGCAGCGTTCGCGGCGGCGGCGTCGGAGAGAAATAACCGAGTTGGTATTGCCGCCGCCGCCCGTGTCGTGTTTTGTTTTGTTTTGTTTTTTTTTTTTTTTTTTTTTTCATCTCCTTTCTTTCTTTGTGTTTCGTTTCGTACGCGGCACAGTCGGTCCGTACCCGGTCCGTCTGCCGATAATTCAAACGCGTTTCCTCGTCAATAACGCGTACGACCGCTCGTCGTGTCAATTACGCGCCGTCGTTGATGGCATCGGGCGCGAAATACATTTGAATAAAAAAAATAACAAAAATCGCGGACGGACGCGAAGCTTTCGGGGAAAAAAAAAACCCCGAAACGAAACGACGCGTCTCCCGATCGCGTGTTTTCTGCGCGACAACGATCCAACGAAATTGTATGCGAAAACGGCCGCCCGCCATCGACGGTGCGACGGAACGTTATACTTTCGATCTTTTCCAAACCAAAAATGCCAGTTTTTCCTCGTCATCTCCGAACGTCAAACGGGAACTATTGCGAAAAAAATTACCTCCCCCGACGCTATGAAAGGTTTGTCGCGTTCCGAACGCACCGAGATGGGTATCTATGGGTAGAACAGTCGCTCGCAGACGCGAAAAATTAAAATCGAATCAAACACACCATCCAAAACCGATACGGTAGGCCTCGTTACGGTAGGCTCGCTTCGGTCAGACTTTTAAATAACCATGCCGGTGGCGGGCGATAAACGGTTATCGGCGACGTTGCCTATTTACCAACGGCTCGACCGCGGTTAAAGTGCGAAAACTCGGTTCGACGGGAATTTCGCCCGAATCCATGTCCCGAATGACGCGGCTCGCGGCCCGACGCTGACCCGACACCGAGCCCACGGCGGATGACAGGGAGGGAGGGAGGGAGAGGGAGGCTGGAAGCCTCTCCTGCGCCCCCTTCCAAATGACGCCACCGGCGTATTATCGCGAAATAAAGAGCGCGGCGCGTAAAATAATACGGGCGCACCGTGTATTATTATTATTATTATTATTATTATTATTACGATTATAAAATGACGTACGGCGGCTGCGGACTCCGTACGGCCGATGATCGACAAACGTATACGGCGACTGCGGCGGCCGCTCCGGGTGTGGGTGGGTGAAGGGGGAGGGGAGGGGCGCTCCGTGTTAAGTAGGTGTTAAAAGTGTACCGGGTGAACAGACGGACGGAGAGAGACGGAGACGCGGAGTGACGGCGATGGACGGAGAGGGAGACCCGCGCGTACGCGGCGACGGACCGACGGACGGACCGGGAAGAAACAAGACGACCCTGGCGGCGGTGTCGGTCGCGGAGCACGCTGCGACCGACGCGGCGGCGGACAGGCGTCCGATTTCCGTTGGAAGGGGAACGGCACGGCGGCGGCGGCGGCGTACGTACGCACCGCGAACCGGCAACCAGTCCTCGTTCCGCCCGCAGCGCATTCAGTCTCCGAGTACCGTCCGACCGAAGTAGTGTGTACGCGCCCGCGCGCGTGTCTCTCCGACGAATTATTTTGTGCGTGCGTGCGTACGTGTACGTTGATTTTTTTTTCGTGTGCGGCCGCGACTCGATCGGGTTGTATTTACAATTATTTTTTTTTTCTCCTTTCCCGTGCGTCTATAAATTATCGTATTATTATTGTAATCGAATATTTTTCCGGCGCGCGTGAATGTTTGACATTTTCGCGATCAGCTCTGCGGCGCCGCGACAACAACAATAACGCGAGAACTTTTGCCCGCATTATCCGCGCGTGTCCACGCCGCGGTCGTCGTGACCATGCTCGTTCGTTGATGTCTCCGCGGACACCGCACCGCCAACACACCTGCACGACCGCCGGCGGCCGTCGGTTCGCGTACCGTGTTCGGGCGACAAACGAGTGCCGGTGATTTCGGGGGTGGATTTTTTTTTTTTTTTTTTTTTATTACCGCGGTTTTTTTTCGCTTTTTCCTTTTTTAATATCGTCCCGTCCGCGTTCGAATCATGGCGTTGACGTTCGCCGCGGTACTCATGAGTTCGGTGTTGCTGGTGATGTCGGCGTCGCTAAGCAAAACGCTCCGGCACAAGCCGCCGAACGAGTGCGAGTGGCTGGCCGTGACGGCGTACGGCGACGAGACGATCGTCTCGCAAACCGTGTCCGACGAACAGGAAGTGGCCCTGCACTGCAAAGTGCGAACAATGAACTCGGAACTGGAGAAGACCAACTTCAGTATTATACAGCCACAGTACACGGTCAAGCTGCGGATCGAGTGCAACAACCAGCTGTACCTGCTCAGCTCGCTGGGCGTGGGCACGTTCCAGACGCTCATCGATCTCAAAGAACTGACCATCGATTCGTGCAAGCTCAACGGCCTAGCGCGCGAGTCGTTCCGCGGGCTCCGGCAGTTGCGCAACCTGACCGTGGTCACGCACAACACCGACTGGACGGCGTCCGTCAACATGGAAGTGCAGTCCGACACGTTCCTCGAGGAGCTGAACATGCTCGAACGGCTCGACTTGAGCCACAACAACATGGTCAAACTGCCGGAGGGCGTGTTCTGCTCGTTACAGAATCTCGTCTATCTGAACCTGACGCGCAACAAGCTCCGGCACCTCGAGCTGTTCCATTTCGGCTCGTCCGGACAGCACAAGTGCGGCGCCAACCTCCAGACGCTCGACTTGTCCCACAACAATTTCGATTCGGTCAACTCGCAAGTGTTCGCGCATCTGTCCGACTTGCAGGAGCTGTACCTACAGGGCAACGCGATATCCGTGATCGGCGATCACGGTTTCGACGGCCTGACGGCGCTGTCCGTGTTGAACGTCGCCTCCAATCGGCTGGTCAACCTGGCGCCCGAGCTGTTCGCGGACGCGCGTGAACTCCGCGAGATGTACCTGCAAAACAACACCATCAACGTGCTGGCGCCCGGGCTTTTCAACGAACTGTCCCGGTTGCTGATGCTGGACCTGTCGGAAAACCAACTGACCGAAGAATGGGTGAACGCGGCCACGTTTAACGGGCTCGTGCACCTCGTATTCCTCAGCCTGTCCAACAACAACATCACCAAACTGGACACGATGATATTCCGCGATTTGTACCGGCTCCGGTCGTTGCGGCTGGATAATAACGGCGTGCAGTACTTGCCGGAGAACGTGTTCTCGTCGTTGGTCGACATGCGAACGCTGGTGCTGTCCAGCAACAAATTGACTAGGATCGATCAGTTCACGTTCGACGGTCTGCCCTCGCTAAACCAACTGTCGCTCGACAACAATCAGATACAGTACATCGATCCAGAGGCGCTCCGGAACTCCACCGACCTGGAGTACTTGCACCTGAACGGCAACAAATTGTACGACATACCGGCCGTGCTCAACAACGTTCCGAATTTGAAAACGTTGGACCTGGGATACAATCAGATCACGGACATATTCAACACGTCGTTCCCGGCCATGAGCCAGCTGATCGGGTTGAAATTGTTAAAAAATCAAATATCGAACGTGTCCAAGGGGGTTTTCGACAGACTTCCCGAACTGCATCTCATTAATCTGGCCAATAACAAAATCCAAAAAATAGAACCCGGCACGTTCGACAACAACACCAGATTGGTGGCGGTCAGAGTCGACGGCAACTATTTACGGGACGTGAGCGGACTGTTCTCGAAACTGTCGAATCTCGTGTGGCTGAACATATCGGAAAACTTTCTGGAGTGGTTCGACTACGCGCTAGTGCCGACCGGGTTACAGTGGTTGGACATACACGGAAATCAGATCACCGAACTGGGCAATCACTACGAACTGGAAACGCAATTGACGGGGTTCGACGCCAGCAACAACAAACTGACCGAAGTCACCGGCAGTTCGATCCCGGACAAGGTGCAAAACCTCTACTTGTCCAACAATCAGATATCGAAAATACAGTCGTACGCGTTTTTCAAAAAACCGAATCTCACGCAAGTGGACCTGACCGGCAACCGTCTGAAAACGCTCAACGCACAGTCACTGCGGATATCGACGGTGCCGGCGGGCCGGGCCATGCCGCAGTTCTTGGTCGGCAACAATCCGTTCGTGTGCGACTGTTCGATGCAATGGCTACAGACGTATAGCGTCGAACCCGACCGGAACAAGCCCAAGCTGATGGACTTGGAGACGGCCACGTGCGAGGTCATATACAACCGCGGCGAGTCCCGGGTGTTGCTGAAAGAAGCGTCCGAAGAACAGTTTCTGTGCCAATACGACATGGAGTGCGCGAAACGGAGCACGTGCGATTGTTGCGATTACGACGCGTGCGACTGCAAAATGATATGTCCGACCAACTGCACGTGTTTCCACAGCGTGAGTTCCACGTCGAACGTGGTGGACTGCTCGACCGCGGGTTACGTGAACCGAGTGCCGGACAAAATACCGATGAACACCACCGTCCTGTACTTGGACGGCAACACGATCAAAACGCTGAGCACGCACGCGTTTCTGGGCAGGAAAATCTTGAAAGTGCTGTACCTGAACTCGTCCAACGTGGAACGCGTACAAAACCGGACTTTCCACGGGTTGAAGGAACTGGAAGTGCTACACCTGGACGACAACCGTATATCCGCGCTGTACGGCGACGAGTTCTACGGGCTGGACAAGCTCAAGGAACTCTACCTGGACCACAATCGGATAACGTACGTGAACAGCACGACTTTCCGATTCCTGCAACAGCTCACCGTACTCCGGCTGGACCACAACCGGATAGCCCAGTTCCCGGTGTGGCGTCTGTCGCCGACGCTCACGCGTCTCACGCTGGCCGAGAACCAGTGGAGCTGCGCGTGCGATTTCGTCCAGCAGATGAAAGAGTTCCTACAGTACGCGGCGGACGCGGTGGCGGACGCCGAACAAGTCCGATGCCTCGACCATTCCGGCGGGTTCAACGTGCTCGGCGATAACGGCACCGTTTGCGGGCCCACCACGCCGTCGTCGATGGCGGAGAAATCGTCGGCCAACGGGTCGTCGTCCAACACGATCGAAGGGGCGCTCAACGGCGGTAACCTCACCGCGCCTACCAGGACCGTGGTGCTCCAGAAGCCGGACATCCAGGACTACATACCGATCCTGATCGTGTCGTTTTCCGCGGTGTTTTTCATAGTGGTGGCCGCCATGATGGTGTACGTTTTCCGGCACGAGATGAAGGTCTGGTGCCATTCGCGGTTCGGCGTCCGGATATTCTGCAAGAGCACCGAGTTCGAGATGAACGAGCGGGACAAACTGTTCGACGCGTTCGTCAGCTACAGTTCCAAAGACGAGGCGTTCGTCATCGAGGAGCTGGCGCCCATACTGGAAAACGGCGACCCGTCGTACAAGCTTTGCCTGCACTACCGCGAGTTCCCGGCCGGCGGATACATATCCGACACGATCGTGCAGGCGGTCGAATCGTCCAAACGCACCATAATGGTGCTGTCGGAGAACTTTATCAAGTCGGAGTGGTGCCGGTTCGAGTTCAAATCGGCGCACCACCAGGTGCTCCGGGACAAACGGAAGAGACTGATCGTGATACTGTTGGGCGAGGTGCCCAACAAGGACCTGGACCCGGATATCCGGCTCTACCTGAAGACCAACTCGTACCTGCAGTGGGGCGACAAACACTTCTGGGAGAAATTGAAGTTCGCGCTGCCGGACGTGCCCAACAACCAGCGGCCGAAGGCGATCAACCACAAGCACCACCATCACCACCATCACCATCACAACAGAGGGGTGCACAACAACTACTCGAGACCGCTCGCCATACACATATAGATGTTATTATGTGAGTAGCGCGCATACGGTATGAGAAAACTTATTTATCTTGCCCTAATATATTATTATTATTTAAATTTGTGATATTAGATAGTGACTATTGTTTTTTTTTTTTTTTTTTTGTAAAGAAAAAATGTTTTTTTTTTTTTTTAAAAAAAAAGCATACAATTTGTACAGCGTGTATGATAATAATACGAAAGGTACGAGCGTAAAAAACGTCCGTTGGTCCTGCCGATACTCTTATATATTGTACATTTATTTTCGATAGCGTGTTAAGGAAGCGTTTCTTTTATAAACTTTTTTTTTTTTTTATTTTTAACGAAAACTTTTCTACATTTTGTACATAAAAACATTATTATTAGTAGTAGTATTGTGTAAAGTACGTGCGTATCGTATCGAGTGGTACGTACGTATGAGTAAAAAATACAAATTGAAATTCCTCCCAGTCATTACTATTAGGTTAATGAAAAAAATTAATAATAATAATTTTTATATATTTTATTTTATATCGATTGATTGTGTGTTTCGCGTAAAATTCCTGCACTGTAATTTTATAATTATAATATAATGTATACCTAGTGATGATATTATGTATTTTAACCCTTTAACAACAAAAAAAAATAAATAAATCTATCCCGGACTTTGAACGAAAATCTTTTTTTTTCTTCCCCCCCCCTCACCAACTCTTTGACCGCGTAAAAAGTTAATAATAATGACAATCATTTGAGTCATTTTTTTTTTTATTATTATTTATTTTCGTATTATTATACGATTTCGTTTCGATAAGACAGTTGCCATTTACTTGTAAACTATTTTATTATTATTATTATTATTATTATTGTTAGGTATTATTATTACGACGTTTTAGCTCCCCCCCCCGCGGTCCCTAAAAAGTCGAAAAACGATTTTCGTTCCGAGCCGGGACGCAGGGTTAGTTACCTAGTCTCCGAAAAGAGCGTCTGGCGCTGTCCGATAGTCTCTTATTATTATTATTATTATTATTATTATTATATATAATGTTCACTGACTATAATATTATCACTTGATATTATTATTATCAGCCGGAATATTTACTTTTTCTCTCGTGTTGAAACGACTAAACGAAAATACGCCAGTCGTTTTTCTTTCTTACTATTGTTTTTTATTAATATTATTTTTTTTTTCTAATTATTATTTATTTTTTCTTATATTATTATTAGGTATGTATATTACATAAATAATAAAGACTATTTTTTTTTTTTTTTTGACTTCTAGATACTAGAAAATACAAAAACAAAACTTTGTTGTGATATATTATAAATATATATATATATTTTTTTTTGTTTGTTAATATTATTTTTTGATCGGCCGATGTCCGAGAAGAAAAATACACAGCGAATAATGAATAAATAAAAAAAAAATCATTATAAAATTTTAATTCCGTGTTTGTGTTTATTATTTATTTACTCGAATGTATACGGCGAAAATAGAAACTCGAATTTACACCGTACGTATTCGTTTGAAAAGGTTTTCAATTTGCAAAACCGGCACAGTTATATGTCCTAAAAGCATTTAAACGTACGCGCTAGAAATTTCAAAAATACGATTTACAAAAAAAAAAAAAATCTCAAACAAAATCACGGTGAAAACGTCACGAGATCCTCAGAAATACTATGCAAAAATCAAATGTCGCACGTATAGAACTTGTTAGATCACGAAACGCATCCTGGTACGTTACACTGACTATTTTTTTTATTTATTTTTTTTTAACCGACAGATATAAAAACACGCAAACGAATAACATAAACTGGCCAGATTCTATTTATGACTGTCGTAAAGAAAAAACGTTTTACACGATTAAAAATAAAAAAAAAACATATTCGTCATTATAACGCGGATTTGTCGTGTTATTCGGCGATATATATATATATATATACATATTTTTTTTTTCCATTTCGTATTTTTAGATTTTCTTTTAATAACCAATCTTTACGAATCGCCCCGCGAGATCGTAGAAATCATTTCGCGTATTATTATAATAACGTCCGCATAATCCCATCCTTCTAACGGTCGTTTCAATGGAAATCATCGTGCACTGCAATCAGCTCGTTGATTTCGATAATAAATCGTAAAAAAAAAAAAAAAATAATAATAGGCGTTTATCGTACCTTTGTGTAATAAAAATATATTTGTAATTTTCAATTTTTTTTTTTTTTTTTTGACACCGTATTCGTATCGTTTTTACCACGTATTTTAATAATTTTTAGCGCATATAAACATCCACGCTGCACGTTTTTTTGTACTGTTTAATCAATAGTTTCTATTTTCGCAAGTTTTTTCCGTGTTTTTTGAAAAAAAAAAAAAAAAAACAGCGTGTGTATCACGAAAAAGGTAAAATATTACAAGTGATGGGTACAGTATTACAAATATGTTGTTTTTTTTTCTTGCTAAAAATACACTGCGCTTCGCCATACGCGGCCAGGTATTTATCCGTATGACGGACTGTGGAGGAGCCGGCGGCGGCTGAAACTAAACGCTCGTCGTCGTGTACAACAACGAGAAGATGAAAAAAAAAATATATATATTTTAAAAAACACACGACTTGCACACGACCGTGTATTATAATAGTAGTCGCAGTGTAGTACACGCAGGATTATCTGATTACGTCAAAATGTCATAGGCTACGGCGGACCATTGATCATCGACGACGACGATCCGAACTATCGGGTCGACAGCATCGCCGCTGCTTCACGGATAATCCCGACGACGACGACGACGACGGTGTAATTGTTTTTTTCGGATAACCGAAAAATAATGTACTGGTATTATTATTATTATTGTCGTGACGGTTTATTGAAATACTAACCCGCGTGCTCGTGTAAAAAGCCAAAAATTCTACGACGAAAAAATTCACCGACGGCCGAGACGACATTCTTTCTGTTGTTGTTTTTCTTTAGATACGGTTCGAGATAACCGCGAGAACGGTTTTGTTTTTTTTGTTTTTTTTTTCTAACCCCGACAGTATTAAACCGATCGCGGTGTTATCGGTTTACCGAGAAATATGCGAACGATTTGCGCGTTCGTCGGTCGGTATATACCGGGTTTTTAATAACTCGATATTTAATTGCGTGCTGGCGTTTTAGGTACTTCCATTTACTGCAGAGTTGACCGTCGCACTCGGGTTTCGACTTTCGAGGTACAGAGCGTGTGTTGTAGAGCAATCGGACATTGTTAACGGATATATTTTGAAACGGGCGGTCTTAGAAAACGAGGTCCGACCGACTATTAGTCCTTAGCAGTTGTCCGCTTGCCTGGGCGGTTCTAGTTCCAAAATCACTGCGGCTATACGCTTTTATTAAATATATTGTCGTTACGGTTAAATAATGAAAAAAATTCTGTATAACACGACAACACAACGCAACTAATGGTATCGGGTAGAGAGTGGTTGTTCGAAAATGATAACGATTGAAAATATACTGACGAGGAGCGATAACGAGATCTCGTTCCAAGTGTTTTTTACTTTAAACCAATAAGAAATGTCTTACGGCGCGCTCTATAGTAATTGTAAAGTAAACTGACGCAGTGACGGTTAATAAATAATGATAATCACAAACCCTAAGATATCTTAGTCCGTTATGAGCGCTAGTTGTATTTTCTTATCAACAGATTATCGAAGACACTTCGGGGACCGAATTCTATGATCTTATCATAGCTCGTTGTGTAACCAGTATATCTTTAATCGTGATAACAACGAACCGAAAGCGTAATATCTGTGCCTATATATTTATAAACGAGTAACACTTGAATACCACTACATTTAATTATTGTAATATTACGAATGGACGACATTAATCGAAAATAGACACCGATAACCACGTCGGGTAATACATTTTAATTCCGCGTGCCCTGCGTGCAGTTCGTTAGTATACAGTCTGTTTATATCATTTTTCGAACAAGGTGACATTATACCGAGGACTAACGAAGATTTAACGTCAGACTAATAATTCGTAAAAACGATTTTTTTTTTCAAAAACAACAATTTATTTTTCCGTTAAATACCGTTAAATCGAAGACTTCGCATTTCCGTATCCGATAATCAAACGAAAAAAAAATAATGATCCCGTGTTCGAGTTAGTCGATACGGAGACGGGACTTTTTTACGAACATTAGTGTGACGACAATACTCTGGGACTAAAAAGACCTTATGTAATTTTTGTTACGCGTTGCTGTTTAATATTGCGACTTGGTTTAAAGATTACTATCCGAAACTTGAATTGGGCTTGTTCCCGTTCTTCGTAGACAATTAAATAAACGCGACCAGCAAGTTTTTTGATAATTGCATAACTTGGAACAGCAATTAATGTAGAACCCGCAGCGGCCCACGGTGAGTAAATCGCGAACTAAATCCGCCTCGACGAGCGTACGTTTAATAGACGGCCGGGCGAGAGTCGTTTGAAATTTGTGACCCCGCGGTTCCTTACATTATTATCTGCGGCGATCAGTATCGGATAATACGCGTGCAATAAAAAATGCGATCTCTGATATCAGTGGCGTAGCGAGACGGGAAAGGGTCCCGGGGCGGTTAATAAACTAGGCCCTCGAACCGATGTAATAACCGTTTATAAAAATTCAAAATATACCTAGACACGCGTAACGTTGATTATTCAACTGTGAATACCTAAAATAATAGCGCGGAACCACGAATGAAAAATAATGAAACAGACAATATTAATAAAAGAAAAGGGAAATTCAGTTTACCACTATAGAAAATAACAATTTTCAGATTATTTGTATTATTGATTATTAAATTTAAATTGCTGGATTTGTCGTTATTGATTTTGAATTGATTGACCTGTAACTTCATGTAAATCAAATTTTTAAGTAGCGTTGTTAGAAACACCTTTTGTCCTGATGAGGACTTTTGGTAAACGGTCCTGAAGGCTTTAATATTGTCCCATATAAAAAAAAAAAACTTTTCGTTTATAAAACTTAACAATTCGGTATGCATAGTTGCGTGAATATCGATAATTTTTTGGTCGCGAATGTCGTTGATTTTTTTCATTCGATACCGTAGTACTGACCGCGTGTATACTAATATCAAAACAGCCACGATTTTCCGTTTCGGCAATAACAGTAGTTTTTTTTATCACGTTTAACTAAAATATTCGATCCATTTTTGACAATTTAGGTTACGTTTCTTCTCTTTCCTGTAGTCGTTTTAAAGCACCGCCAGTTTTCCCTCCTTTTTTTTTTTTTTTGTTTCCATAATTTAACTTTCTAACACGTACGCTATAAACACCGTACAACTGATGTACCGATACACGAAAATATTCGTGTTCGATACTATTCGACTGGATAACACGGCATAATATTATTGTATTAATTTACGATGTTATGTACCCGGGGTTATTTCGGCCGTTTTCAATCGCCGGCGGTCGTGGCGCGATAACGATTATCATACGTGACGGCCGACAACGATATCCCGTGCATTATTATCTATTTTAATACCGATTATGACTGGAATTGTCTCGTTTCCGGTCGGAACGTTCGCTATTAAATACACGGGAAATTTACAATATTATTATTTTAAGGCAACAACAGCCGGGCGAGTGGAAAACGAACGTTTGATCGTTTCGAACAGAGCGACACAAATGCCACGTAAATTCGGCGCAACAGCAAGGCGAGTCTGTCTGCTAAAAAGACAAATCCCACAGACAGACGATGGATTTTATTTCTTTCTCGAAACGTCCACTTGTATTGTTTTTGCACCGGGCCCCGTTAAATTATTGTCCGAAGAGCCCACCTGAGCTCCGGAGGTCCGCCTCACTTTGATAGCCTTCGCCGTCTCTGATAGTTTGTCGCATTCGTATCTTCGATGCGGTCACTCGGCCTTTAGTACCCGTCCGTCGGTTTATAAAAAGAAAAAGAAGATAATATACGATACGGCCGAGGATCGGCGCGGCGAATTTTCCATCGTTTTTCGCCGTTTTTTTTTTTTCGTAAGCATTATTATTGTTACCGCGTCGTCGACGGCAGGCGCTTTCTCCTCTTCGTCCGGCGGCCGTCACACCGGCCGTCAGCGGCTGACGACGATAATCCGGCCGATAACTCACGACGATAATAACGATAATAGATTTTATATTCTCATTGCGAGCGTGCGGCCGGAGATTTTTTTTTTTTCGGCTCCTTAAAAGGCTATCGTCACGACGACGGCGACGACGACGGACACTTCGACTTTCTTTGCCGGAGGCGCGCGAACGGCGACGCGTTTCGTAATACACCTTTGTCGCGATTTACTTCCAGGGCGGCCCGGGGGCAGGGTTAGTCGAAGAGAAAAAGTAAGTATATTCCCCGATACATACCGCGTTTAAGTACCTGGACCTATACGTTTTTACTATTCTTTAATAATATAGGCCGGCCGCTACGTGCGATACACACACCGGTGTGTACTACGCGATGCGTCCGCGAGTATATAGGTTTAGTTTTTATTATTATTATTATTATTATTATTATTTTTTTTTTTACGATTCTTCTCGTGTTCTTCCCCCCCCCTCTCGTATACCGGCCCGGCCGTCGGACCCAGCCGCGAGAGAGTATATATAATGTAATATAATAATATTATAAGTATTATTATAACGACGTGGACGGATGATTGTTATGCTTGTACGATCAAACTGATTAGCGGAACAGTAATAACACGTTGAGCAACGATCCCCGGCGCTGTTTAGACCGGGCAATTTATTGCTCCGGAACACGCCGCCGCGCCGTCCCGAGTATGATTAGTGGTCGGGGACTTTATACGTATATACGTATTATAATATCTGTGCGTCCGTTCTCCGTCGCTTCCCCCCCTCCCATCGTACCCGCCCCCTACTCCGTCCGACCGCGTGTTATGACGTAGCGTGTTTCTCGTTTTTTTTTTTTTTTTATATATCGGGAGATGGCCCAGTTCGAACGGCGGCGGCAGCGGCAGTCGTTAACGCGTCCCGAGAGGGCAGTCCGGAATTACACCTGAAAAATGTGATATTATTTTATTGTGCGCGCGCGTCGGTTTCGCCAAAAAATCAAAAAAAAAAAAAAAAAAAAAATTGCCGTTACGCGCGATTTATAAAATAAAAAGTACGATATTTTATTCGGCGGGTTTTTTCTCTCATTTCCGAGCGTATCCCCGATTGAAAACGTATCGCGGTTTTTTTGTATGCTCCGTCGTGTTCTGATCGTACGGCATAACGCGTTTCGAGACTGTATCGTCGTATTTCTTTTGGTCGGTGCCCGATGTAGAAACCGCTCGGGCAACGTTTACGCGGGTTTTCGTGAAAATCGATAAATCGTTTAACAATCATCAGGACATCCCGAGCCGTGGAAATCGAGAAAAATCTACACAGTCACGTTTGTCGTTTTGTCGAAACGCGCGTTTGACGTCCGGATTTTAACGAAACTCCGGACGTCCGCCGAAAATACAGCGCCAACTATTTTGTAATTAAAAACGAATTTGAAATTTTTTCTTGCGGACGGCGAGAAACGTATTTAACCGAGTGCTATGCAGAACCGTACGGTTTGTTGGCGATGATTTCCTTTTCTTTTTTTTCTCGCTAATGACAATATTTTTCTAGTGTTCGAATGGCGGCAAATCCGCGAGAAACGTAATGCCCCATCAGCTGGTGTAAGTAGGTATACTGGGTTAATGATCGTCGCCGGTCGCACATATGGCGTGTTTCCATCTATCGTTCTCGTTCAACGGTCGCCATAATAACACCATACCTGAACTCTGAGCGGTTTTATACAGAGTGCAGGATTTCCAATGTAAATTGAATGAGAAATCGTAAAATCCCGCAGATACACCCTGTATACTATTATTAGTATTCTTGTTGTTATTTTCGGTGCCGCGGTAGCGAAACCGACCGTTTTCCAGAATGTTGAACGATTAACGAGATCAAAATACAATTTATTATAGCCAGCTGTATTACACGTAATAAATCTCGGTCCGCGCTACGATCATAGTCACTATATAGCGTGATAGTTGGTGTTGAAACTATCGCGATAATAAGTATAACTATCATAGAAACAGCGTCATAATATAACAGAGTGCGTTATAAGTACAGAAAATGCGATAGCTGCAGAGTAATTTTCGACAGTATAACGTCAGTGAAAGTGCTCGACAAGACAGTAAAATGGAAACGATATAGTGCACGGCGATATATAGTTACTATCACGATAGTAACTATCATCCGGCATACATGCGCGCATGATGACGGTGTGATTGACGTTTTCTATACAAAAAATATATTAGTACACAGTTACTATACCATGACAAATTAGATAGGTGGATACGATCATAGTTTTTTTGACACGCATATCCCGCTCAAATATTTCTTCGCTTCACCTATTGCATTATCGTAGTTCTCCGCATCTTATTGGCTAACATATTATGTCTTAATGGCCGATAACAGTGAAGAACTGCAACCACGGAGCACAAGATTTGTTGTTTGTGAATAAATAACAACACAATTATTTATTATTATTAATTTTGATAAATTGTAATTATGATTTTCCAGTAAACCCCGAAACGCACAAAGTAACGCTCGTCACGCTACTGAAATAGCGAATAAAACAAGTACTAGAACCGCTTCTTTAAGCGATCGCATTTGATAGCCCCGTGTACCGAACTTATCTTCTAAGACCGTGATTACGATACGGGCGGGCCAACTAGTGGATAAGAGATGCGCGTACATGAACGAAAACGTGCAACAGACACACTGCGATAATGCTTATCTAGTTGGTTATGGTTAACATTATACCATATTTGACCGATGTACCGTTTATGCGACCACAAGTCCGTGATAGTTCTACCCACTATCACGGTTGCGAACCGTGAAACTGTACATAGTAACTACCGTCGCGACGAGAATTTATAAATACAATTTGTTCCGAAAATATTCGACGTTTTGGACATTTTTTAGATTTTGCGAAGAATGTACTGGTTTTACAAAGATGTTTATTTTTTTTTTTATGTGAACACTTTTTCTACCAAAAAGCTTACTCCGATTATCAAATATAGCACCTCTTTGAATTTATTATTATAAAATAATTTACTCCCGAGGTAAGCGCCAAGAGTATAATATAACAGTACGTATTACATTTTAAATATTATAAACATATTAAACAGATTAAATAAATTCTATGCTACATTAAGGGTACATTGTTTTAGTTTAAAGAAATTATCCGTTAAAAAAATCAGTATTTTTTAAACTGTTACAGGAGTTTAAGGTCCTTTACGTGGAGCTGCTTAGAACAACATTTTTAGTGTGCGATTTAACAAGGAAACAATGAAAAGTAGTATTTACTTGTGGTACGTTAAAATATATTTGTTTGCAATAAACCAGGATAGTCTAAAGAACCGTTCAAAAGTGTTTATCAATGAGATGGCATCTAGAATTGCAAAGAATTCATGTTGCATTGACATCAACTCCAGAAATAGGATAACCAGCCAAATTAATTGTATGTGCTATCATGTGAAGGAAACGTCGTTGCACTTTTTCGATATTATCTGTAAAGCCTGATTACGTAAGGTTCCAAACAACCAAACTACATTCAAGACCAGACCGTACCAATGTGTAAAACAAAGTTCTTAAGCAGCGCGTGTTATTAAACCATTCGCAATTTCTTTTTAAAAACCCTAAATTTCTGTAAGTTTACATTTACAAATTGTAACTTTTTCTTCTCGTCCCGCGGACCGTCTAAAAATCTATTCATATAACAATAATATTAATCAACGCTCGTATAATTATTAATTATTATTGTTGTCGTATAGGTACGCGTCGTATGATTGTTTTCGATTATTTTTTTACGGCCGCGGCGTTTTAACGCTCCGTAAAATAAAATGTAATTCATTTTTTAATTTAGTGGCATAGTATTAATAACGATTGTAAATATATATGTATATGTATATATATATATTTTTTTTTATATTGTTATTGTTCGACGAACATCGTATCGATGCTGATGAATCCGTCATCGGCCGTACAGTCGTACATTGTCGGAACAATCGAAAATCCCCACAACAATGTTGGCGGCTGTTGAACGTCCGTCGCGATACACGCGTTGTTATCGGAACCTAATAGGTGTATCAATTGTTTTTATTACAATAAACGGTACCGTGGTTTAAACACCATTATTAACCTGGCCTACAATTAATATCAACGCTGGGCATAGGCATAATACGGACTTCCATACTATTATATATTAATACACCTAATGTGCATCTCGGGTTTTGCAGCGTGCACGGGATTGAAGCGCTTTTCCCGAAACCGCGGAGAGAAAAAACGAATATTATGATTATGCCAACAACCCCGAAAACGAAAACCTAACCTATAACGCGTCAATCATCGATACTGTTCCGATAGGAAACTGAAAGATGGCTAATAACTAATCACTAGCATATAAATAACAACGGTTTAGAATAAAAACACAGTAGGAAAATGAAGCATATTGTATACAAACTTCGGGTAGGTCACGGGATTCTCAAGGTTTGGGTAACTGATCGTGGTGTCGTGGGTACCGCGCGACATTGTTGTAGAAATAGATGTGCTTGAAATACCTATACCCATGCCAGTGGCGTGTCCACAGAATCTTTCACGATTTCAATGATATAAAAAAAAACAATAATCATACGATTTGCGTAATAAATAATCTCCTTTTGTAATCCGACAGTAAGAATTTGAAAAGCCAGATCCGAAAGAGCCGATTTGTATTCAATGTTTCACGCTTTGCATTCCATGTATAATTTGGCTAAACTATAATATATTGTTCAGAGAAAAAATTACTAACCAAACACTAATAGTCGTCGCGTTTCCGAGCCTTTAACCCTTCGAGCGCACGCCACTGATCAGAGCGCGATTATGATTGGTATCCAAACTGTGGGCAATGTTTTCCGACAACGTTGGCCCCCGGACGTCGTCTCTCTCGCCGCCTAAACGTTTTGCGTCTGAGATTCCGGCGGCATTTATTATTTTATACTCGTTTTTTTATATATATTGTATTGTTGTTAAGAGAGTAGACGGTGTTTTTTTTTTTTTTTTTCCATAAATGAATTGCCGAACACAAAAAGCCATTGAAAAGCCTCGGGGATGTGGAAATTCGCGTCCGTCCGCCATTTCCGCGGAGACCCCCAACGAACGACTACTATTACCGCCGAAGGGTTGCACCCCTTTTTTTCGATTCGCCGTTCCCCTCGGGCTATATACTACAGATACGCTCGACGACGTAATGTCTTCAATTAGTTTTATTATTATACCGAACTATATGCGAGCGTGCACACGCAGAAACGTATACAATATATAAATCAAAGTAATTCTTTTTCTTTTCGTTTTTTTTTTTCCCCCCGTCGGTTTTCAATAATCCGCAAAGCCTTTACGGCGTTAAGGGGTTTTTAGGTTTTTTTTATTTTTTTCGGTCTCAAGAAACGGCAAAACGAACGAGCGCACGAGGGGGCGGGCGGGGCGGAGAATTCCACGCCGCGTAACCATCACGGCCCGGTCGAAAACGCGCGGATGATTCACGTCGATCAAACCGGTCCTGCCGGTGTTTTCGTTTTCGTGCCTACCCGGAATCAGTGGGTCCCAAAAAATGAACGGGGAAAAAAAAACAAAACACTAAAAAATAATAATACGAGGTACCTTTATGTTATTATTATTATATTATAGAAATCGCACGGATAAAACGACGGCGACGCGCACACGCGAATGAAAAAACCGCATTGTTCGACCGGCGGTGTATCGGCGGCGGCGCAGGGAAAATGAAATAGTAATAATAATGATAATAAAAAACCGAATCCCGGGATGATCAATTAAAAAGAGTGCAACGCACGTTTTATTACGACGACGCCGCCGCCGGTTCCGCGTCTAATTATACACAGGCCTCCGGTGAATACAATGGAAACGCGCGCACTTATATTATACACTTATACACACTGATTATTATTTTCATAAAAAAAAAAAAAAAATATTCGCCGTGCCTACACGCGCGAGTCGGCTCGCGTTTATTATTAAATTTGTTTGTTTACCGCCGCCTCGGAGATACTATTTATGTAAATCGCATAGTTTTTTTTTTTTTTTTTAATCTTTTACTCCTCCGCGGCCGGCGGTATAGCCGAGGCCCACGCGATGGGGGTGGGGTTTAAGGGATCGTGACCAGCCTTCGCCCGTCGGAAACGGAGCATTTTTACACCCGGAACGTAATATTATTGTTATTACGCTTATATTGTACGAATATTTAAATTTCGAGAAAAAAAGAATTGTAAAAGCGGTGGGAAAACGTTCCGGCGTAACGGGCGAATCTGACGTCGGATTTGCCTAGCACACCGGTTTTGAGCTTGGCGTAACATTATTAGTTTTATCCCCGAGTGTTTTCCGCCGCGGTGTTTTTCGACGGATAACGTACGGCGCGTTTATTTTTTATCGGTACGAGAACGTATTTCCTGGGACCCGGATGATCGTTGAGCGGTCGTCGTTATCGCCCACTGAGTATAAAAAATAGTCAAAATAGACGGTATATTTTTGAAAAGTGTGTTATTATACTAATATGCTATTATAATAACACCATGCGTACACTATTATTATGTATGTATGGTTACATAATATGATGATCATATTATATCACGGTTGTTACTTGTTATCGAGAGACCCGCAAGTGTCGTCACCGTCTTTGCAAACGTGCAGTGCGACACGGCGCGATTGTGCGTTCGACAGCCACAACTCGGTGCTATTAGTTACGATAAGTAGAGAATATAAATCGACCCGGCATCAAATTTAAATATAAAAACATTGTGCAACATTGATGGTATTTATTTATTTTTTTGAAAAAAAAAAAAGTTAGTATGCGAAGTATATCACAATTAA